TATTCCAAATCTTTGTTGCATTTCCTAAGTTCTTAGAAATAAGATTGCAATATCAAAGCAAAAGTACTTTTAAAGGAAGTTTAATTTAAATCTCCAAAATTAGCTTTCAGGAAAAACCCAACAAAACCACAAGCCATTGCCACTGAAGGTCCTATAAGGTAGAGAAATCCTTGTCGGGTTTCCAAGGCTGTAATCGTTCTTGGATCAACTATCAACACTCAGGTAAGCAGCAGTCAAGAAATCAAATGACATATTGCATTAGGCAAATCTGCTGCACAAGACCTTTTTAAAGTGTTGAAGAGCAAAGATGTTAGCTTGAGGACTAAGGTGCACCTGACCCAAGCCATGGTATTTTCAATAACCTCATATGCATACGAAAGCTGGACAGTGAATAAGACAGACCATAGAAGAACTGATGCTTTTGAGGTATGGGTGTTGGAGAAGAATATTGAAAATACCGTGGGCTGCCAAAAGAACCAACAGATCCGTTTTGGAAGAAGTGCAGCCAGAGTGTTCGTTGGAGGCCAGGATGTCTCTCACACTTCAGACATATTGTCAGGAGGGACCAGTCGCTGGAGAAGGATATCATGTTTGGTAAGGTGGAGGGTCAGAGAAAAGGAGGAAGACCCTCAGCGAGATGGATTGGCCAAGTGGCAGCATCAATGGGCTCAAGAGTGGCAACAGTAGTGAGGTTGGTCTAGGATCGGGCAGTGTTTCATTCTGCTGTGCGTGAGGTCACTATGAGTCGGTTCCGACTCGATGGCACCTAACAACAACAACAACGTTTACTGGAGCAGACTGCAATGTCTTGGCTGGAGGGTTTGAACCATAGACAGGTCTTTGGGTTAGCAGCGAAGACCTTAACCACTGTGCCACTAGGGTTCCTTGCTTTTAGAAAAGTTAAACCAGTTTCGAGTTTCCCTAGAATATGAGAGGACCCATTTTATAAACACTTGCCATCACTGAGCATTGTCATTTTTTATGTCGAAAATCAGTATCTTGTAGTTTCACCATGCATTCTCTTTTGATTACTAATAAGGCAGAACATAATTTCATATGCTTATTAGTTATTTGTTTTCCTTATTTGTTCATTTTTTAAATTGATTTGTCAAAAACGTTTTCTTTTAAAGTCCTATATAAAGAAGCACTGGTAGCGTAGTGGTTACAAATCGGGCTGCGAACCGCAAGGTCAGCAGTTCAAAACTACCAGCTGCTCCGCGGGAGAAAGATGAGGCTTTCTGCTCCCGTAAAGATTTACAGCCTCAGAAACCCTATTCAGGGTTGCTATGGGTCGGAACCGACTCCACGGCACTTAACAACAACAACAACAACATATGGGGGTAGGGGGGAGCTTCAAAAGTTAATGGAAAATGAAATGGTAAGACAATGGAATTTCCCCATGAATCTTCTGAAGTCCCTTGCACATACTGCAAACACTTCTACCCCTCGCTCAGGTTCACCTTTCACCATTGTTCATGGCATCAAAAGTGTCAAATGTTCCTGGGTGGCACAAGCAGCTTATAAGCTGGCAGGCTGAACTCGCCCAGAATCATCACAGAAGGCACGACTGACTGTTTGCCTCCATAAAGGTTGCTGTGAAGTGCTGTCGAGTTGATGTGGACACACAGTGATCCTGTACAGGGCTCCTATGGACCAGCTGGTGGGTTTACATTGCCACCCTTGTAGTTAGCAGGCCAGTGCCAGAAGTGCCCATAATGATTAGCCACTGAAAGACCCCCGGAGCAGTGCTACTCTGTAACACAGGGGTCACCATGACTGGAATCAACTTCATGGCAACAAGTTTGTGTTGTTGGTTATAGGGTAAAAAACAGTTTTTTTTTTTTTTAACCACATATGGTTCTCTCAGGGTGGTGATCTAAAATAACTATGGCACAATGTGGTAAAGGCTACAGTTTGGCACAAGTGCTAGGGTCAGACACTAACATAGTTACTGGCCACATCCCACGTGCAGGCACTGTGTCAGGAACCAGGCCCCACAAGGTAGGTATTATTAACCCACTTGATGAATAAAGAAAATAAAACCTTATTGTCTCAAAATTTGTTCAAAGACTCACAGATAACTAATGGAAGAACTGAGATTCAAATCCATGTAGTATATCTGATTATAAAATCTGTAGATTAATACTACAGTTTAGGGGAAAGTTAGAGAAAGATAAAACTGACCTGGGCCTTCAATTGGCACTTGTTGCCGTAACCTGCCTTTGAGTCGACTCTGACTCATGTACACCAGAACAAACCGCTGTCCAGTCCGGGTTCTTCTTACAACTGCCAGCAAGTCTGAGTCCCTCGTGTGGCTACTGTCCTAATCCATCTCAATGAGGGTCTTCCTCTTCCCCTGCACTGACCTTCTAGTTCATTAATATGACAACCTCCAGTGAGTGAGCCCTCCTGATCATGTGCTCAAAGTGGGTGAGTCAGACAAGGGTCTGTTGTGATTCCTAAGGTTTTAATTGGTTAATTTTCAGAAGTAAATTGCCTGGGCATTCTTCCTAGTCTTTCTCAGTTTGGAAGCTCTGTTGAAATCTATTAAAGATGATGACACTACTGAAATAGCAGCATCGCAGAATGAAGTTAATTCTATTCTTCTCTGACCTCACTCTTCCCCTACAGTTAGTCTGATATAGACTCACTCACTGTTCTACTGATTCCAACTCCAAAACTACTCTTCAATGTCTTGTGTTTTCACTTCCTTTGCACCACCATTGCCTTAACCTGAGTCCTTATTTTCTCCAGTGTGGATGACTGCAGTCTCTTGCCTCACATGCTGAAAATCCTCCAAAGGATTTTTACATGCAAGAGAAGTCCAGCTGTTAAGAAAGCTACATGGCTTCTCCTACAATTTAGCCCCTGCCTACTTCTCCAGCCAGAGGGTCCACTGCTCCTTTGGATGCACCTATTGTTTTACAACTGTGACTGCAAAATCTATTCCTCACCTGGCACATCATATTGTGTATGATGTTGTTAGGTGCCATTGAGTCAGTACCGACTCATAGCAACCCATAACAACAACAGAACGAAACACTGCCCGGTGATGGGCCAACCTCACAATTGTTGCCATGCTTGAGACCACTGATGTTGCCACTTGGCCAATCCATCTCGCTGGGGGTCTTTCTCTTTTTCTCGGACCGTCCAACTTACCAAACATGATACATAATTGTCGGGGACCCGCCTTGACATAGGGGTTTGGTTCACGAGGACAGGATACCTGACGGCGATTGCAATATATCAAGAATACACAGAAGGAGACAAAGAGAGAGACAATGAGGCACCCCAAAGCCAGGGTGGATACATCACTGATAGGCAGGCTTGGGACTACAGGCATCATGGCCTCTGCAGGCAGCAACTCACTGCCCTGCAATCTTTACTGCATGCCTTCCAACCAGTAATGCACACCTAGGGAGGCCCGGGCCTCTGTTTTATTTAGGGGAGGAGCTTCACACCAAGCTGGGAGGGACTTAGGCAAGGTACAGCTAACATCAGTACTTTTCCATACATTCAGGTAACTTTACATCGTACTTCGCTGTTTCGAATCCCAGGCCAGCAACTTGGTTTCTCAGGCCCAATTAACATATCTATAGCCCCTGAGCTAAGTTGGGGGAAGGTGAGAGTAATGACAAAAGCTTGGGCGGAGTCCTGCTGCTTCGACTTCCTGAGCCAGGTTTTCCGGAGGACTCGAGATGCCCAGGTGAATGGGCTGCACCTGGAAAATGATTAGGGAGGATGGGTTCTTTGTCTATAGAACAAAGAACTGTGAAGTAGCTAAGATATTTTTAGTTAATCCTTTGGAGAAAGGCTTAACCTTGCAACCTTTAGTCTAGGCTTTAGGAAAATATCACATTTATCTGTGGATTGTCAAAGGCTCCAGTGTATTAATTTATTATATATAACTGAATATTAAGATGAAAGCAATTTGCCATTAACTGCCAGTGGCCTCATTTGTTACACTCGGCCCTAGAGGGCCTCGAACCTCTGACTAGTCTTACATGGTCTGCAACACATAATGTCAAACTCACCTCCAGAGAAGCTATACCCAAATCATCTGATACAAGCTACACTCCCCTACTACTGTGTTTGCTCATAAACCTTCCTTGCTCCTTCACAGCTTTGAAATGAAGTACATCCACTGTCCCAAATGCACATTCCTCTGGTTGATGAACAGGGACACTGGTATCCCCTATGGCCCTTATTTGATGGTCCAATCTGGCCCTTATTTAATTTTTAATTTGCTTTCTTACTACCCCCAATGCAATCCTTTGGTTTCAATGGCTGGTAAACTTACTTCTCCTAGAACATGTCATGGTTATTCATTTTGTTTTTCGCAATGTTAATTCTCAATATTTGCAATACTTTCCAAGTTCTGTGTTTTTCAAGTGACTCTATACTTCTCTTCATCCTTGTCTTACCTTAGTCCTACCTCAGGGTTTCACACACGTAGCCAGTGTGAAGGAAGGATTTCCAGTGACCCTTGGAAGGTATCAGAAATCTTCAGAGAATACTGCCACAATACAGGGCACAGAGGGCAAGGGATGTTATCTATTCGCTGTAGAGTTAAGGGGACTGGTTTTAAGTAATAAAACTAAGAATTACTGGCATCATTTGGAATAACTGAGAGTTGACTGTACATGAAATAAAATGACTCAATTATAGTTTTGGAATTGTTGCTTCTGTTTATATTCTCCAAGATGTTTACCTCTGGCACCACGACTCACAACTAGTTACCTCCTAACTGCTCTTGCTTCTTTGCTTTCACTCCATTTAACACATCAGTACTCCCCAAACAGAAAACCCCAGATTGACGATTTCATTAATAACGCAGTCCCATTTTTCCACTGCGTGTTTAAGCAAACAAACAATGCCCAGACACAAAACAATAGTTCTGAGAAACACAGAAAAGTTTAGCTACATTTATGTCACAAGGAACATAATGTATGGCACAAAGAATAATGATTTTTTTTTAACTTAAACAAAAAACAACTCACGTTCCATTTGATCAAACATTACTGAAAAGAGGAAGTCTCGTGGTGTCATGTAATGTTCTCCTTCATGTTCCAACGAAGAAAACTGCATGAAGCGCTGTTTTCGAAGAGACAGTTTCTCTACCATGTCATTTGAGTCAACATGTTTCTAAAAGAAAAGGAAACTGCAATTTGATTCTTTTTCAATATCATTCCTAAAGTCAGTTATTTCTATGATATTGCTTAAAGAGTAATATTAGAGTTCAGGTTGTCATGGTCCAACATTTTAAACCATGTATTTAACTAATATTTACTGAGTGACCACTGTGCACTGTTTTAGGCACTAAAGATGGAACCACGAACAAGACTCCTCTGAGAGAACTTACATTCCAGAAAGCGAGAAACAATGTTAGTGAATAAACGTAGAAAACCCTGTACGGCAGTGAGCAGTGCCGTGCGGAAAGATGACGCAGGATGAGAAATGGCTAAGGGCACTGTCGTAGAGGCTACCCAGGGAGGGCTCTGAAGAGGGGACATTTAAAGTGACTAGAGGAGGTGGAGCTCGTGAACCCTGGGCTCTCTGGGAGAGCTAGAGCATGAACAAAACCCACGGTTGGGACTAAGCTTAGTGTGCTCAAGGGACAGCAGAGTGGCCAGCCAGGGTTACTGGAGTCTCTGAGGAAGGGAGGAGGAGAGACAGACACCGGTCATCGTCCTAATCCTCTTCACTAGCTCTCACATGCTGCCCGGTGAGTGAATGCACTTACAACCTGGGAGTTCATCACCTATGTAGATTCTATCCTAACACTTCCCTTATAGAATCTACAAGTATGGTTGTGAGTGGCCATACAGCTGACCCCAACTCATGGCAACCCCATGAAGAACAGGATAGGACTGCTATGAGCTGTGGGGTTTTTCACTGGCTGATCTTTGGAAGCAGAAAGCCAGGTCTTTCTTCCTAGAGCGTCATAGTCTAGTTCTGTTGACAGCTGTTCAGCATCACATTGCACTGACAGGTGGCTGAGTCGCAGAAGCACTGGTCCGGAATCAAACCCAGATCTCCTTCATGGAAGGTGAGAATTCCACTACTCAAACTAGCATTTCCCTCAGAATCTAGAGTAGACAGCTTCAAGTCAACATCTCTTACCACTAGAGTCTTTAGCTGCACCCCAACCTGCCCGTCCCCCCAGAAGTCACTGAACAGCAGTAAGCAGTTGCTGTTGGGTTATTTCTAATCCCTGGTGACTCCGTGTGTGTCAGAATAGAACAGGGTTTCCATAGGCTGGGTTTTTGGAAGCACACTGCCAGGTCTTCCTGCTGAGACCCCTCTGGGTGAATTTGAACTGCCAGCCTTTGGTTAGCCCACGAGCAAACTATCTGCACTACCAAGGAACGAAATACTGAATTTAGGACCTACAAATTTGACAACACTTTAGAAAGAGATATAACACAAAAGAATCAAGGGGGCAATTGCCTAATAGTAACTGCCGGGAACAATGTTTATTAGCCATTACTACCTTTATGTGGAGTCCTGGTGTGGTGCTGTGGGCTAATGCGTCAGACTGCAAAGTCGTTTGAACTGCAAGATCAGTGGTTCAAGCTCGCCAGCTGCTTTTAGAAACCCTATACAGGATGGCTATGGGTCGGAATTGACTCGACGGCACTTAACAACAACAACCTCTGGAGTCCTGGTGCGGCACTGTAGGATAAGCACTGAACTGCTAACCATAAGGTTGGCAGATCAAACCCACCCCTTGTTCCTTGGAAACCCTATACAGGATTACTGTGAGCTGGGACCAACTCAACAGCACTTAACAACAATAAAACAAAAACCTAATTCTATGGCAGGCAGGTGCTAACAGCTTCCTATATTCATGTTCTCACTCCATCCTCATTAGAACCCTAGTATGTAGACAGACATGATTTTTATCATTCTCATTTGACCAAAGAAGAAACCAAGGTTTGTCAAGAACCCAGCTTGCCTAGATTCCCACCACAAGTAAGGACTAGCAGGGACAGTGTGACACCCACTCTAAGCATACATGAGGGGACAAGAGGTAGTGTGCGTGACGGCAACGGTGCTTATTTCATACGCTTGCCATTTTAACTCTTTCACCTAGCTGTAAGATTCCTTCTTGCTTTACTTCATTTAAAAAATATTTTGATCAAATTTCAGACCTATTTGATGCTTTTATTTGTCAAGACTGCAATTATCTACCATAGTTCCTAAGAGGAAAAAATATGCCATATTATATTTTATATAAACATGTTCTATTTTATATATAAAGTACTTATATGTACATAGTACCATTGTTAAGTGTTGCATCAATACTGACTCACAATGACACTGTGGAGGGTTTCTGAGACGTGGGTTTGAACTGCTGACTTAGAGGTTACAATCCAGTGCTTATCCTATGGTACCACAACAGGACTCCAATATTATATATATATATATAGCATTACACTTATATATATACGGTAGTGTAGATATACTATATACTTGTGGTAGTATTGTAGATGTTAGATGCTGTCCAGTCAGTTCAGAACAAAGCCCTACTCACACCCTCCAGCCAACCTCACAACCGTTGCTATGTTTGAACCTACTGTTGCAGCTACTATTGTCAATTCATCTCATTAAGCATTTTCCTTTTCCACTGACCCTCTACTTTACTAAGCATATCCTTCTCCAGGAACTGGTCCCTCCTGGTAAGTCCAAGCTCTTAAGACAAAGTTGTCCATCTTCACTTCTAAGGAACATTCTCTGGCTGCACTTTTTTTTAAATGTTTTAAAATGTGTTTATTAAAGAGTATTTGTAGGAAGGCAACACTTTTGATTTGTCTATAAAAATAAGTTCAGTTTCTTCCTGCTGTATGATAAAGGTAATAAAGGGGGTTACAGCGTTACAAGCGTCTTTCTACTGGAACTCTTCGATACTATAGTGCAGTGCAGTCATCTCTGCATTGTTAGAATAAATTTAAAAAGGTCTCTGTTTCTCTTAAAAAAAAAAAAAAAAAAAGCAATGAATAACAACAGAAGATGGCATGAAAAAGCCATTCCCCCCTTTTATTCTGTAGTATTGGAGCCAGTATTTTTACCATCACAGGCTACAATTTTCACTGAATCCACTTTAATAAGCTCTGTCACCTCTCAGAATTCAACAAAGTCCACACATTATCGCAGAATCTGTACGCAGTTAGAGGGCCCCTGAAATGGACTGTTCTGACCCTCTGAGCCAATGCTGACTTTATGCCCTTTATCAAACTGAAGGAGCACTTGAAGGGCAAGTTGGGGAGTCACCTGTTGAGACTGTATGAGCTCACCTAGGCTCTCCTGAAGACTGTTTTCCCAAAGTGGGATTTCTGTATAACCGATATGCCATGCATAGGTGTAAGAAACTGGTTTTCTGATCCAGGCCTGCGCTGGTAGCCTGTGGGGAATGTGCTTCCTGCCATCAGTGGGCAGAAACCCCAAAGCTCTGGCTGTACTTCTTGCAAAAAAAGATTTGTTCATTTTTCTGCTAGCCCACGGAACAGTCAGTAGTCTTCACTGCAAAAAACTGCATGGTGAGTGACATTTCACCTCCTCCGACTTCACCAGGGAGGAAACTCAAACCCGATATCAGCCTGAGGTGGGTTCCTGTGAGGCTGAGGTCAGACACGCCTCCCCCTACAATCGTCCTTACCAAGTCTGCTGCCATCCCACCAGAGCACTCTCCACTCAACTGGGTTTCCTAATTCACTGCAATGGCCCACAGAAATTCACACAGCACACTCAGTTATGGGGTTTCTTTGGGAAGTCAGTGGGTTATAATTTAGGGTCAGCTCTAGTCAGGGCAGCCTCTCCTCAAGTCATGTCTGCAGACAACTTGTGTCTGGTCTTTGTTTCTCGGCCACAGGACCATTGGCTTCTGCTCTACTCCAGCAATGCTGCAAAGTTCTTTTAGGGTTGCTGATAAATGTACCAACGACACTCCACTATAAACCTTAGCCCAAAGGCACTTGGCTCTAGTTCCACGGGTCAACAAACCCAGCTCCCCAATTAAGTGCTAGAGGCACCCCACACCACAAGTGAGCCTTCTGTCTAGATACTCAGCTTGCCTGGCTCCCTGGGCTGACCCTGGAGGTCTACACCACTGCCCAGTCCTAGGGATTATTAGGGTTCTGGTGCTGCTGCTCCTGACACTCCTCTGAGGTGGCACTCTTCCGGTGCCACAGTTTTCTGTCTGTCTCTGGGTCATGGAGGTTCAATGTGCAGAGATCTTAGGGTCCCAAAGGATGTGCTTCACTCCTGGCCCTTTTTGCTTGATGGAAGTGAGATCTCCTGTTTCTAGGTCTGAAATGGCTCATTTTATACACAATCAAGTTTCCGTTAGCAACCAACTGAAATCATATAATCCTATCAGCATCTTTTCCCACCTGCTCTTACCCAGACTCATCAGGAAAAAGTTGGTTGATGGGAATTTACAAAGACTATGGCTATTAGTTATTATTGTTAAGTACCATTGATTTGGTTCTGACTCATAATGACCCTGTATAGGGTTTCTGAGGAGTGGCAAGTGAGTTTGAACCACTGACTTTGTGGTTCAAACTGACCTTGAGGTCCAGTGCTTATCCTACAGTGCCATACTTGGACTAGAAGAGACATTAAGTAATTCACTACACCACACTCACCAACGCCATAATCCAAAGGCATCAATTCTTTAGTCACTCTTATTCACTGAATGCATATGAGGCCACTGAAAAGACCATGGTTTGGGTCAAGCACGCCTTAGTCCCCAAAGTGACATATTTAAAGAGGTCTTTTGGAGCAGATTTGCTCAATGTAATACATCATTTGATTTCTTGACTGCTGCTTTCATGGGCATTGATTGTGGATTCAAGAAAAATGAAATCTTGACAACTTTAATCTTTTTTCCATTTATCATGTTATTGATCCAGTAGTGAGGAGTTTTGTAAAGTGTAATTCGTATGAAAGTTGTAGTCTTGGATCTTCATCAGTAAGTGTTCAGATCTTCTTCACTTTCAGAAAGCAAGGTTGTGCCATCTGCATATCACAGGTTGGTAATGAGTCTTCCTCCAATCCTGATGACCCCATTTTTCATACGGCCAAGCTTCTTGGATTGTTTGCTCAGCATCCAAATTGCGTAAGTATGATGAACGGATCCCATCCTGATACACACCATCCTGATTCTAAGCCATGCAGCATCCCCTTGTTCTGTTCAGGTTCCACAGGAGCACAGTGAAGTGTTCTGGAACTCCTTCTTTTCTACACAAATCTATAATTTGTTAAGATTCACACAGTTCAATGCTTTTGGGTAATTAACAAAACACAGGTAAATAACTTTTCTGATATTCTCTGCCAAGATCCATTCGACATTAGCAATGATACTCCTGGTTCCATGTCTTCTTCTGAATCTGGCTCAAACGTCTGACTTTCTTGTTGATGTATTGCTGCAACCATTTTTGAAGTATCTTCAGTATAATTTTACTTGCGTGTGATAGTAATGATAATGTTTGATAACATTCTGTTGGATTTCCACATTCTGTTGGATTACCTTTCTTTGGAATGGGCATGTACATATATATCCCTTCCAGTCAGCTGGCCAGGTAACTGTCTTACAAATTTCTTGGTATACATAAGTGAGCGCTTTTGGCATCATACCCATTTGTTGAAAAGATCTCAATTGGTGTATTATTAATTCCTAGATGCTTGTTTCTCATCAATGCCTTCAGCGCAGCTTAGACTTGTTCCTTAACAATCATCAGGTCTTGCTCATATTGTTGTAGTTGTTAAGT